ACTGTGCTCGTGGGTCCCTGGGTCTGGGCTGCTGTGTGTGGATAGCTGTGGCTCTGGGGCGGTGTGGCTGCTTCTGCTTGGAGGGATGTGTGTGCCTTGTTTCTTGTTGCCATTAGGTCTGGGATTTGCGGGTTCTTGGCTTTGCTTGGGAGAAGCGCTCCCTTTTTTGCATGGACGCAGAGAAGTCCTCGTCCTGGGGACTCCTGGGGAGAGCAGTGGGTGCAGCACGATGCTGCAGTGCAAACCCGTGCAAAGTGCCTTGGCTTTCTGCTGCCCCACCGAGGCTGCTTAATTTATTGTTAAGTGCTATGGGAAGAGGGGGGAGGAAGGCTGCTGCTCCATGCGGTGGGGCCTGGATGCCAGTCTTTTCTCCTTCCTAAAGTGCCTTTATCCTTTGTCCCCTTCCTTTGCTCCCTGGGCAGTGGGAAGCTCTCACTTGAAAGCTGTTTGGCTGTAGGTAGCTCAAAAGTCAGGCTAGATTTAAAGAAAAAAAACTATCACTGAATGTGCTGCTATAGTCTGAAATGCATTTTCACTCCTCCAAGCCAGGGATCTCAGATCGTGTCCGGGGGGCTGTTCTGCATCAATACCCGTATGGCTCTGAGCTGTGTCCTCACAGGGTAGAAAACTCACTGCGCACTTGAGTTGAACAGTGATTGCATTTTGTTGTCGTTCTTGTTGATCCTGTCTGTTAGTTTTACAAAAAAAAAAAAAAAAAGTGTTGTTTTTTTTTTAAAGAAAAAAAAACCATTATATAATGCTGCTTTTCTAAGAGAGAATCAATAAATTGTAGACTTGTATTAACCAGGAATAGCCAGAGAGCCGCTGTGGGGTGGGAGGCAGTGCTGCTGGGGCTACCCTCTGGACACAGAGCTGTGGCTGCTGTCCTGGGGGGAAATCTGCTCTGGGTGCCACCAGAAACAAATTTTATCAGGTGGAAAAAGCTGGGGCTGCTGTTCTCCCACCACCGATGTGTCACGAGGAGCGTCTGTACAAACAAATTTTTATATATATGTATGTATGAGTGAGTTTTAATTTAAGAGTAATCTGTTTTGGTGTTCACATGCAAGAGTCCTGCTGCTGGGAGAGTCAAGAACCGTATAATGTTGCAATAAAGTACTTTAAATGAGCACAGTGGTGTCAGGGCTTTCCCTTTGCAGCCGTTCAGTGCTGCTGAAGCGTTCCCTGCACAGACAGGCGCTGTGCTGCAGGAAGGTGAGCGCAGTGCATTGCGTGTGCTGGCAGCATGGTGTGTCTCTTGCTTATCAGCTTCTGGGTTTTTTAAAGAAAGGAAATATGAATCAGGAAGCCAAGAAAAAAAGAAGTGCTGCGGTGTGTGAGTGGCCCCAGGTGCTGTGTGCTGCTCTGCTCTGTGTGGCTGCTGGGGAAGGGGAGAAGTGGAGCTGGGAGGAGGTGGTGCTCAGCACTGCACGGAGCTGCACAGAATCTTCCTCAGGGGCTGTGATGCTTCCAGGAGCAAAGCTGGACATCTGCAAGCCTTGTAGTGTCCAGGTAAGCACCCATGTAAGTGCAGCCTTATGGGATGTCCCTGCTGGGTTTTCCAGCAGAGGTGGCACTTTGTGGGCTTTGCCACATGTGGCCTCACTGGCCAAGAACAGCAGTGCTGCGGTGCTGGGGCTGCTCCATCTCTGTGGAGCAGAAAGCCAAAGTCCTTGGGGCAACTGGGAAGTGTTTGGGAATGGTCAGTGCAGAAGGGGCTGCCAGCACAGCGGTGCATGTGCTGAGATGGGAGCAGGCAGGAAGGAGGCCCAGGCCACAAGACATCTCCAAAAGGATGCACTGCAGGGAGTGGGGAGGGATGGGGAACAATCAGAGGCTGCCAGCCTTGCAAGGACAGGAGCTCTTAGAGGGCTTTCTGTTCCCAGTGCTGCTGGGCAGCTTCTGCCCTCATCTCTGCCTGGGGCTGTACACAGCGTCCCTGGGTTGGCACAGGTCAGGTGCTGGCAGCAAACCTGGAAGCACCACCTGTAGCATTCCTGTGGAGCTCCTGTGGGCTCTGGGAACAGTCTGGGGGCCCCAGCCTTGGCCCCCACCTTTCTCACTGAAGGAAGATGTTTACCCCCCCGCCCTTTTGCCCAACATCGCAGACCACTTAATGCACAGCAGTCGGGAAGGTGCCTGCTGCCAGCAGGGAGACAAGGGGGTTGCGCAGCCCCCGCTCTCCTGTTGCAGTCGGGACAGCTCCTGCAGTGCAGCCCTGCAAGGAGCCCAGCGTTGATGGCTTTGCTCTGCCCCCTGCTGGGGACGGGACAGGACGATGCGTGTATGCGGCCGCAGAGATGCAACTACAGAGTAGAGCTACTCCAGACTGCAGGACCCAGCTCGGGCTTTATTTTCCAGAACAGGAGCAGGACAAACCCTACTCTTTCCTGGGTGCCAGGGGCATGGCGCTGCCTTGCAACAAGCAATGCAGGGAGCGCAGCCCAGCCCTGTGGGTACAGCACCACGAGCAGAGGGAGCCCAGGGCTGGATGTTCCCAAACACCTCCTGGAGGCGTTGCTCCCAGCAGTGTGCAGCAGCCCCCAGGAGCAGGCCAGGCCGTGGTGTTTCCCCACCTCCTCCCCTCACTCCATGGCCGCAGGCTCCTGCCCCTCCACATCCCGCGTCTTGGAGTTTGCCAGCTCCCTCCGGATCTCCACTGAGATCTGTGGATGGCTGTGGAACTTGAGCAGCTCGAGCAGAGCCTCCTTCTGCTCTGAGGACAGGTCCTCCTTGTAGCGCTGGGCGAGAGCCAGGAAGCTCTGGTGCCACAGCACAGGCAGGGTGCGCTGGTCTGTGCGGAAGGCCAAGAAATGGAAGACCAGGGCATCCACCACGCGGAAGGGCAGCGCGTACTTCTTGTCAATGAGCAGCCGGAGGAAGATGCTGTTGGCACCGTTGTATGGCATCTCAGCGATCTTCAGCATGGCTGCACTGTGGGGACAGAGGGAGCAGCGGGTGAGGGCAGGGCCAGCAGCAGCAGGGGGACACCCAGCACAAAAAGACCAGTCTCCAACCTCAGCCCTGGGCAAAGCTGATGAGCAAAAGCTCTCCCTGCTCTGAGCTGCTGGACGGGCTGAGGGACAGATCTGGTGTCCCTGAAAGCAAACTGTTCTCCTCACGGTGACTTTGCCCCACTGCATTACCTGGAGTGCAGGACAGGGATGGAACACTTGGTGAGGATGCTGCCGATGATGATGGCCTCCCGCAGCGTGCAGGTCCCCGATTCACACAGGGGGATGAGGATTCCTGTGAGGGGAGAAGAGTTGGGCACCACTGGTCATCATCACAGCAGGCAGAGCTGCAGGGTGTGAGGCTCAGCCTTGCTCTCTCAGGGCACATTTAACCCATGGAAATAACAGCTCCTCTGCATCATGGACATCGTTCCACCTTCCTCCACCACACTGAGCTCCCACAGCCACAGAGAGCAGTGTACAGAAGTAGTACTGTGCAACACACTGCCCTGCCGAGCTGCTGTGCACTGCAGCAGGCTCCCACGGGTGGAGTGCAGCCCCACAGGGAGCCCCTACCTTTGAACCACGCTCCTGGCTTGAATAGAGCCTTCTTCAAAGCCATGTAGAGGTGGAAGTTGAGGCGCTTGTACTCAGCAATATCATCTCTGACCCGTGGCAACAGCACCAGGTTGTAGAACCTCTGGGCCATCCTCTCCTTCAGGTTGGATGAAAATATCCTGTGAAATGCAAAGCGTGAAGTGAGGTGTGTGTGTTCTGCATCTCCAGAGCCAGGTTCTGAGAGAAGGGGACTGCAGGAAACCTCTGCTCTGTCTCTGGGCATTCCCTCTGCTCCAAGGCACGGGGAGGGAGGAGCAGGGTGTTGGACACATGATGGTATTTTGTACTTCTCATTCCATTACAAAAGAGAAAACAACAGCTCAGAGTGTGCTGTGCTGGTCGCACCTTGTGGCCTGGTACATCGCCGCTGCCGTCCACGTCTCAGGCTCTGTGATGTAGAGGATCTGCTCCCAGTTGGACAAGGCAGGAATGATTTTAAACGCTTTGGGGAGTTTCCCACTCCTGTATTTGGACAGCACCTTCAGTGAAAGCAGAGGGGCTGGGGTTTGTCTCAAGGTTGTAAGCAAGCCGTCTGCTCCCTGCACAGCTCTGCTGCAAAGGGGCTGTGCTGAGTCTCTGCTCAGCACAGGGCAGCACTTGTGTGCCACACGCGTCCTCCCCATCAGCACGAGGTCCACGGCAGCCCTGAGAGAAGCAGCAGCAGCGCTGCCCCTCCTGGGGTGGGATGACCCCATTGCTGCACTGGGGGTGGGGGGTGCCACAAAGTGTGTGGGGCCGGGGGCCCGCAGTGCCCTCACCTCTCGGACGCCTCTATACACCTCCAGCACGCGGGGGTCGAGCTGAGGCATGGGGCGGCCCGACAGCTCCGACAGCGCCGTCTGCACCTCCGTCTGCTTCTCCGTGATCTTCTCCATGATTACATCCGCCAGCGTCCGCCTGGGAGCCGGGAGGAGTCGGTGCTGAGGAACCGGGGCTCCCCGTCCGCTCCCCACCCCCTCTTCCTCCCCTCGCCCCGCACCTGAGCGGCGGAGCGCGGCTCATGAACGCCTCCAGCGCCCTCTCGTCCTCGGGGTCCACCTCCACATCCCCGCCGCCGCTCCGCCCGTCCCACTCGGCCGCCCGCCGCAGGCTCGGCCATTCCTCGTCCTCGTCCTCCTCCGAGCCGGAGCCGCCCGGGGTCGCGCAGCGCTGCGGCGGCGGTCGGGCGGGCGCCCCGGGGCCGTGCTCGGCCTCCAGCTCCTCCTGCTGCCTCCGCGCCTCCCGCAGGATGCGCCGGGCCAGCCGCGGCCCCACGTAACCTCCGTCCCGCTCCTCCGCATCGCCCTCCGCCTCCCGGCCCCGGCGCTGCCGCACTCGCGGGGCGGCGGCCCTCAGGATCTGCTCGTGCAGCGGCTCCGCGCCGCGCGCCGCTTTCGGCATGGTGCCCTCAGACACGCGCTGCGCGTGCGCGCGCCCGATCCTTCCGCCGCCGCTTCCGGTGCCGGGCGGGGACGGCCGGAGCGATGGGGGTCACCTGGTGAGGGGCCGCGGGGGGCGGGCCGGGGGTTCGGGATGGGCTCCGCGCGTGTCCCCGGGCCGTTTAGAGCCGTTTGTCGCCCCGCAGCGTGACGCAGGTGCCCGTTTTGGAGGGGAAGAGCGTGCAGCAGACGGTGGAGCTGCTGAGCAAGAAGCTGGAGCTGCTGGGCGCCGAGAAGCACGGCGCGTTCGGCGTGGACTGCGAGACGTACCACACGGCCGCCGCCATCAGCAGCCAAGGTGGGCAGCGGGGAGCGGAGCGGAGCTGTGCCCGCCGTCGGGGCCGCTCCGTGCGTTCGGCCGAGCCCGAGGCTCGCTGCCCGCTGAGGGATTTCTGCCTGCGGTGCCGTCCCCTCCTGGAGCAGAATGGGAAAGGAGCTCTGCAGAGAAGGACCTGGGGGTCCTGGCGGCGAACCATCGGCTGCCCTGGTGGTTCCTTGGGGCACACGGCACAGAGCGCAGCCAGCAGGGTGAGGAGGCGCTGCTCCCCTCTGCTCTGCCCTGGGCTCCCCAATAAAGGGCAGATGTGGAGCTGCTGCGGAGCCCATGGAGGTGGTGGGAAGCCTGGAACATCTCCTGATAGAAAAAGGCTGAGAGCCCTGGGGCTGGGGAAGAGAAGGTTCAGAGGAGGCAGGGGGGATCCTAGCAATCTGCACAAATATTGTAGGTGGGTGTCGAGATAACGGGGCCATGCTCTGGTGCCCAGTGATAGGATGGGGAGCACTGGGCACAGGCTGGAACTCAGGAAGTTCCCTCTGAATATGAGAAAGAACCGCACTGTGGCCCAACTGGAACTTGGCAAGGGGTGCAAAGAAGAATAAGAAAGGCTTCTATAGGATTCTCAACCAGAAAAAGAAAGTCCATGAGTAAACCCGCATGGACCCCGTACACATAAGCAACACAGGCAGGCTGGTAACAACAGACAAGCAGAATGCTGAAGGATGCAACAGCTTTTTGCCTTAGTCTTTACTGCTCTTCACACAGCCCTGGAGTGGATGGGTCAGAAGGTGGGAGCTGGGGGAGCAATGCCCCTCCTGCAAGCAAAGATCAGGTTTGTGACCGTCTGAGGATTGTGAATGACCCTACATCCATGTGTGCAATGAGATGCATCCAGGAGTCCTGAGGGAATTGGCTGACATAGTCACCAAGTTGTGGTGACTGCCACCCTGTCCACCTCACCTCCACGCCAGGAGAGATCATGGAGCTGATCCTCCTGGAAGCTATTATGAGCCCCATAAAAGAGAGGGAGGTGCTATGGGATTACCAGCCAGGCTTCCCCAAGGGCAGGTCCTGCCTTGTTGCGTTTTATGGTGGTGCAACCCCAGCAGTGGACAAGGGAAGAGCCACTGACGTCCTCCATCGGGACTTCAGTAAGGCCTTTGACATCGTCCCCCACAGCATCCTTCTCTCCAAATTGGGAAGATATGATGGGTGGACCATTTGATGGGTGAGGAACTGGTTGCAAGATTTCTTTCCTCTTTAAGAGTTAAGAAGTAAATACTGTCTGTTCACTGAACCGCTGGATAGCAGTGTGTGTGTGAATGGTACAGGGACATCAGGATTGAGGCAGCAAGGAGAACAAAGCAAGAACAGATGCTTCCTTCTCTGAAGCACAAACGAGTGCAGAGCTGTCAGCGTCGCAGCCCAAACGCTGTTGCTCTTTATTTCAGGGCAGACAGGCAAGCTGATGTACGTGATGCACAACTCTGAGTACCCCCTCAGCTGTTTCGCTCTCTTTGAAAACGGGCCCTGCCTCATCGCAGATGCCAACTTCGATACGCTCATGGTGAAGCTGAAAGGCTTCTTCCAGAACGCCAAGGCAAACAAGATCGAGAGCCGGGGCACGCGCTACCAGTACTGTGACTTCCTGGTGAAGGTGGGCACCGTTACGATGGGTCCCAGCGCCCGGGGGATATCTGTGGAGGTAAGAATCACCTTCAAAGGGTATGAAATCCAGCTACAGGTAGGGAAATCCCATGCTAGAGGCTCTGCTTGAAACCTTGAGTCCCCATTCCTTCCGTGTATCAGTTGTGTTATTAGCCGCTGGCAGTTTGTACTGGATGCATTCATGTGTGCAGCAGGCAGAGCATTTATCTCCTCACAGTAAGGTTTAATTCAGGTACTGCAGGGCTCAGCTGTGCCGACAGAAAAGCCTGCTGTTGTGTCCATAGACGAAACCCTGAAGGAAAGCCATCCAACCAAAAAGTTGCTTAAAATACTGATGCACAATGCTGGAAGTGCACTTCAGGTTAATAAACATACTGAGGCGGGTAGAACACTTTGCTGCTAATTTAATGCTGGTTTGGGTTTTGCTTTCTTTCCTGACCTTGTGCAGACGGTGGCTGGGCCGAGCAGACGGTGCCCTCCTGCCGCAGGTTTGGCTCTAAAGCTGCTCACTCCTCATCAGAGCGCTGTGTGCTGCGGACGTCAGTGCTGCCCCAGGTGTGCTGGCCTGGATTGCTGCACCGTGGGGTGCTGTGTGGGCTCAGAGCCTCTCATCAGATGGCTTCCATGCTCTGCTCAGTGCTGTGGCTGTTGATGAGACTCGAGAGCATCAGTCACAGCATGGCTGCTGCTGTCGGGTGTCTGATGGGGCGGAAGCTGGGCTGCAGCAAACCTTGAATGCTGTAGAGGGAGATGTATGTGTGCACAGGACCCTGTGTGGCAGGACCCAGGATGGTCCTGGAGGTGGTTGGCTGGTTGCAGGTGTGAGTGCAAGGCACTCAAGCTATGGACAAACCTCAGCAGCTCAGAAACGACTTGGATTAACACAAGGAGCTGGGCTGTGCTGGTACAGGAAGGGCAAAGTAGAGCATGTGGGGCTCCAGACATGTAGATGTGTTGGTGCCTAGCAGTCCTTAAGGTAGCTGAGAATTAGGTGTTGGAAGATCTTTCAAAATCTGAGCTCATGTCTTGCTAAACACACAAATCCTATTAACTGGTCTATAATTAATAATGACACTGCATCTACCCGGGCTGGTGTTCCTAGCTAGCAGGGATGGGATTAAGAAGTGGCTTCACAGGAATAAACACAAAAGTAGTAGTGTGAGCACTGCTGTTGACCTGGGGTTAAAGAGAAGCCTGTTTTACCCTAAGCTTGAGTTCAGGACCAGATTTTCTTGGCAGTCTGGTTGCTTCTGCTTTGGTTTAGTAGTTTGTTTTCAGGGTGTCCTTTAGGACATAATCTCTGATCTGGAACTGCAAGTCCTTAAATCCCAAGGCTTTATCATTACACACCTGAAAGAAGTCATGGCCACATAAGCTGTTAATATACCAACTTGTGGGAATGAAGTTTATCATTGCTTTTCCAGTACAGGGGATTTAATATGACCAACGAACTTACAGGGTAAATTTCCCTTTCTTCTCTTTTGAAGAGGTGCCTTGCATATTCCCTGCATGTCCTGTTCGTATGTTTGTCCATCCTTCTGCTGTTATATGCTCAACATTCTCAAAGAGAAGAGCACTGTTTTCCTTCTGCAGCCACAGCACAGAGGGGCTGCTTGCTGCCTTCAAACTCTCGATGCATATCTCATATTTAAAACAGTGAGGCAGAGAGAGGAACGTGCGTTGTCCTGTGCGTGGTTATGGCCCTGCAGTGAGCTTCAGGGCTGTGGTTTCTGTTGCCAGGTGGAATACTGCCCTTGTGTGATAGCCAACGACTGCTGGAACCTGCTGATGGAGTTCATGCAGAGCTTCATGGGGAGCCACACTCCCGGCATCCCGTCTGTGTTTGGCACCAAACATGACAGCATCTACAGCCCCGCGGACACAATGGTTCAGTACATGGAGCTGTTCAACAAGATCCGCAAGCAGCAGCAGGTGCCTGTAGCAGGAATCAGGTGAAAGGACTCCCAGAGCTCTGTGCAGAGCGGCTGCATCCTTTCTGCAGATCAGGAGTTCCTCCAAGAAGCGGCAGCTGTCAGCCCAAGGTTTTTTTTTCCTTCCAAATCTCTTTGCACCATTTGAAAGCAAAGGTTTTGAATGCCACGAGGATTTCTTCTTGTCCTCCCCCTCCTTCTTCCTTCTCTGTGTGTCTGTGCTCAGGCCCATGGCTCTGCTGGTTCTCGGTGCAGTGCTTCATGCAGGGGGATTACCATTTGTTGGCAAAGGAATCCCAGCCAAACGCATGCAGAGGGCAGAGTCTCACTGAATGCAAACAGCTAGGAGAAAGGATTTTTTTTTTTTTACTGCAATATTTGTGTGAAAATGTCTTGTTATTTTTTGTCAAAATAAAAAGCTGTCTTTTTGTGAGAAGATGGAGTCTGTGCACAGTGAGTGTTGTTCTGCTTTGTATTGTTTATTTACAGCTTTTGAAATGTTCTGTTGCGTGGAGACAATTCTTTAACAGAGTTTTATCTTTGATTAGGTTCAAGAGCTTTATACCACTGTAGGAAACTAATTTCCCTGTGGCAGGAAGTCTACAGGAAGTCTTGTATTCCTGTTAGAGGTATGTTCTTAGCTTGCCTTCATCTTTGATATCAGATGGGAGTATTAAAGTCTTCCCCTTCTCAGTTGAAGCCCAGTGCTAAATAAATAAATAAGCGTGGCAGGAGGCCTCGTGCACTGGAAGAGGAAGCCAACTGCTTTATCTCACGGTTTGAAAGGCCTGCAATAAATGCCCCAGTGCTGCACACCATTCCTCTCCGGAGAAATCCTGGTGATACCAGCAGATTTACTGGAGTAAGAAGGATCTGTGGAATGAGAGCCAAAAATTTCTGATGAGGCTTAACTGTACGATATCACTTGAATATTTTTCAGTGATGCCTTATTTTTATGGCAGGAAAAGCAGGGATATCGCGTCCCTTTTGAGCTATTTGTCCCCTTAGTTTTACATACTCAGCATCTGCCTGCCTTGTAGCTGCAGTTTTTCCCTCTCTCCCCCTGCTGCACCCCCTGCCTCGTCTCAGAAGCAGCACAACACCTCATTCAGCCACCAACCTCTGTGCTGAGCTTCCCCTGCAGTTCCTGGGAAGGCTGTGCTCAGCACGGTTCCAGCTCTGCAGCTCTTGTCCTGGACGAAAAGAAAGGTGTAAGGGGATTTGCAAAGGGAGCAATGGGTTCCTGGTGAAGAAGCAGCGTGAGTCTTGCCAGCAAGAAACAATTTTGGTTACTTGCCGATAAATGGATCTTGAAGATTGTGAAGAGAAAAGAAAACAGAGATTTTTTTTTCCCCTCCTAAATAGATTTTTTTCAATCTGAAACAGCAGGCAGTGAAGAAGCTGCTATTTAGTTGATTTGCTGACTGGTGGAGACCTAATTACTTAGCAGTGGCTTCTTTTTTATTTTCATTTATACCTGTAAATCTAATTAACTCTTACAGGGTCTAGAGCTTTCAGTGTAGGCATTTAATACATTTAATCAGCACCGGCTCTCGAAAGAGCTGGTTGATAAGCCATCATAAATAGCAGAATGCACCATAAGTGCACGAGAAATTCCAACATGCTGACTGTGCTGAGTTTCTGCAGCTCCCAGCTCGAGTTGATGAGTTGTGCACTGACTTCAGCGGGACTATTGGTTTTCAGGTGATGGTTACAGAACGTGAGCTGCAGTCAGCTAAGTGCGGCTGTGAAAACAAACTCTGCTGTTTGTACGGGTAGTTATTTCACTTTGTTTCACTTTTAAAATCTTGAGGTTAAAAAAAAAAAGAATTTCCTTTTAACGACCAGATTAGTCCCACTGAACATTGCCAGTGCTTTACTAATTCCTGAAAGATGGTCTTAAAAATATAAAACGTGTGCTGGCATCTCTGGGGACTTCTGTGCTCTTATTAATATGTTGTGCTGTTCCCAGAGTAATAAAACGGGACCCCTTGAGCTACATTCTGCCTTCAATTACACCACTGCAGCCATTGATGCCAGCAGGCTTCCACGTGTGTAAGTATGGGTAGGATTTGGCTCTGTATGCCTGAGCAAAAACGTCTGCTGCTGTTGCTGCATTGGCCAGGGTTGGAAGGGACCTCAAAGATCATGAATCTCCCACGCCCCCACCACACGCAGGGCCACCAACCTCCACGTTTAATACCAGCCCAGGCTGCCCAGGGCCCCATCCAACCTGGCCTTGAACACCTCCAGGGATGCACGGGGCATCACAGCCTCTCTGGGCAGCTGTTCCAGCACCTCACCACTCTCATAGCAAAGAATTTCCCCCGACCTCCAACCTCAATCTTCCCTCCCAATCTTTCACGTTCCCGGTGGACAAAACAACTTCTTTCCTTTCGATCCTCATCAGCTGTACTAAGCCTCGTTCTGCTCCCTGCTCCCAGCATCACTGCGGCAGGTCAGCGCGGCTCCAAACGTCGGTCTGCATCCTAACAAGTCTTCAGGGGGCTTTCAATGGCGTTACCTTAATGGCTCGTGCCAGGGTAATCGAAAACCACCCTCATCCTCCCTGTCAAGGCACGGTCTGGAAGGTTGTTCTTCCCAGGCCTCGTTAATCATCAATTTTAATCATCAATTTTAATTCTGTCCAGAACGGCGCGGTGGGGTTCCGTAAGATGAGCGGCAGGCTGTCAGAGCTGAGGAGGTGGGGGGGGGGGGGGGGCGGTGTTTCCCGCCGGGTGCCCCCGCTGCGGCTCGTGCTCTTCCATGAGCTCAGCGCCCCGCCGCCCCCCGAGGGTCTCCCCGCCCCCATCGCCTCAGAGCCCCGTCAACGCCGCGCTGCCCCTTTAAGAGTCCCTTTGTCTCCGCACCATCCTTATTTACCCTCCTGCTTCTCAACCAAACTTCAGCCCGGGATTCACAAAGCCCGCTACGTCACCGCCCGGGGCCGGGCCCAGCCGCTCACCGCCCCTCAGCGCCGCCGTCCCTCTACTCAATCGTGCGCCACTCAGAAGCACCCCCTAGCGGCTGCGCAAAGCTCGTAAGCTCCGCCAGAGCTTCCTCTACCACGGCGCTAGCTACGCAAACAGCGTCCGCTTGAGCGCCGGCAGTGCCGTCACGCCCGGGACGGCGCCGCGCTCCGCTACACCCGCGCCGCTACGGAATTGGCGTAGGCGGCGGTGGTGAATGGGGAGCGAAGCGAGGGGCGGAGCGAGCACGCTGTGTGGCGCGCTCTCTGGCCAATAGCGGGGCGGGGCGGGGCGCGGCGGGCGGCCAATGGGCGGGGAGAGGGCGTGGCCGGCGGCGTTGGGGTGTCTCACGCTGGTGACAGCTCGCGCGTGCGATGATGGCGGTAAATAAAGGGAGCGGGGGGGGGGGGGTGACCCCCTGCGGGGCGTGTGGGAGGGGTCCTCAGCCTGCATCCGTCTGGGGGGTGGGGGGATCACGGCCGAGCGGTCCCACGTTGGGGGGTGCATCTCTGGGGGGGGGGGGG